AGACCCTATCCCAAAAAGATAAAAAGAAAAAAGAAAAAAGAATAGCACCTAAAAAAAAACAGAAACAACTCACTTTTTAACACGTCAAACCATTATACTAAGTACAGAAAAACAGTCATAAGAGACCGCATATTGTACGATTCCACGGAAATGACGTTTCCAGAGCAGGCGAATCTACAGAAAGTAGCTCATGGCCGCCCAGGGCTACAAATGCGAATGGGAGGCCAGGACCAGCACATGGCTTCTGAGGAGGAACAGATTCTTTCTGAAGTGATAAAATGTCCCCAAATGGACTGCTGTGATGGTTACCCACTCTTGACTATTGTAAATTGTATTGAATCTGTACAAATAATCTAAATTGTTTAAAAGGGTGAGTAATATGGGTTGTAAATTCTGTCTCAATAAAGAACATTAACACCTTAATGAGTCTCCTTCCAGATTTTTTTTTTTAGGACAGAGCCTCCCTAGTAGATCAGCTCAGCCTTGAATTCACTACCAGTATGTAGCCTTGAACTCACAGAAACCCTTCTGGCACAGTCTCCTGAGTGCTGGGATTATGAGTGTGCACCTCCATGCCTGGCCTTCCAGGTTTTTTTTTCTTTCTTTGTCTTTTTGAGACAGGGTCTCGCTATGCCATTCAGGCTGGCCGTAAGCTCACTTTATAGCCCAGACTGGTCTCAAACTTGCAATGATCCTCCTGCCTCAGCTTCCTGAGTACTGGATTATAGGCCCAGCAATTGGCCTTCCAGATTGTTCTATGTTTCTTTTCACAAAACCAAAACCCACTATACTACTTAAAATTTTATTTTCACATATTAGAATAGATATTTTCCAAACATTTGCAGAGGGAATCTTTTTTTTTTTTTTTTTTTTTTTTTTTTTTTTTTTGAGATAAGTTCTCGCTATGTAGCCCAGGCTGGTCTTGAACGCACTGCAATCCTCTTGCCTCAGCCTCCCAAGTGTTGGGATTACAGGCATCTGCCACTATGCCGATCCTATACAGAACATTTCAACAGCTAATCTTTCATACAGATGTACTGATACTTCACTGTTGGATAATTAAATCATCTCAAGTTTCTCAGTAATATAAATATCTTAGTTACATCTTGGCAGAGTTCTTAATTATTTCCTAAGGGTACTCCTCTTAGTAAAATGGATTATTTCATAGAGCCAAAATTTATAAACATTTTTTTAAGGCTTTTGATATCCACTGACAAGTCACTTTTTTAAGAAAGTGTAAAGGGTGTGATGGTGCACGCCTGTAATCCCAGCACTCAGGTGGTTGAGGCAGGAGTATCTGTTGCAAGTTCGAGACCAGCCTGGGCTACAAAGTGAGTTCAAGGCCAGCCTGAACAGCATAGCAGGACCCTGGCTCAAAAAGACAAAAAAAAGCTATTACAGACTGTGCTGCTATAAACATGGGTATGCATATATTGCTGTGGTCTGATGCTTCTAATTCTTTTGGGAAGATACCAAGAAGAGGAGAAGCTAGATCAAATGGAACCTCTAGTATTATTTTTTGTTTGTTTTATACCAGGAATCAAACTCAGACCTCATGCTTGCCACGCAGGTGCTGTGCCACTAAGCTATATCCCCAGCACTTAGTTTTAGTATTTTTAGGAATATCCACACTGATTTCCACAGTGGTTGCACCAGCTTACACTCCACCAACAGTGGAGAAGGGTTCCTTTTTCCTCATAGCCTCACCAGCTTTGGTCACCAGTTGATTTTTTTCTTTTTTGTGTGTGTGCCTTTTTGAGACATGGCTGTGTCACTATGCAGTTAAGGCTGCTCTTGAACTCACTTTGTAGCCCAGGCTGGCCTCAAACTCAAAGTGATCCTCCTGCCTCAGCCTCAGAATGCTGGATTACAGTCACCACACTCAGCTGATTTCTTGATAATAACCATTTTTTCTGGGGTGAGATGGAATCTCAGCATTTTAATTTCCGTCTCTCGAATGACCAGTGATGTTGAACATTTTGTCATATATTTACTTGCTATTTCTACTTCTTCATCTGAGAAGTGTCTATTTATTTCAGATGCCCATGTTTAGATTATGTCTTTAAATTTGGGGTCTCTGACTTTTTAAGTTCTTTATAGATATTAGTCCTTTCTCTGAGGAACAGCTAGCAAAAATTTTTCCCACCCTGTGAGTTGTCTCTTCACTTTGTTGGTGGTTTCTTTGCAATGCAAAAGCTTTTCATTTTTTTTTTTTATTTTTATTTTTGGATGCTGGAATCGAACTCAGGACCTTGCACTTGCCAGGCAGGCACTTGTGCCGCTGAGCTAGATCTGCAGCCTTCCAAAATTTTTTAATAAGGTGAGATCTAACCAATGTCTTCAAGAGTTCTACCTATTTTATCTTCTAGCAGATTTAGTGTTGAGTTTTCCTTTTTTTTTTTTTTTTTTTTGAGACAGGGTTCCAGTAGGCAGTTTAGGCTGGTCTCAAACACACAGTGATCCTCCTGCCTCAGCCTCCGAAGTGCTGGGATTACAGGCATGCACCACCACTCCTAGCTAGTATTTCTGTTTTAATACTTAGATCTTTGATCCATTTTGATTTGAGTTTAGTGTATGATATAGGTCTACTTTTAGTCTTTTTTTTGGTACCAGGAATGGAACTCAGGACCTTGTGCTTGCCAGTCAAGCGCTTGTACCATATCCTTGTGCTATATCCTCGGCCCCTAGTTTTAGTCTTTGACATGTGGAAAGCCAGTTTTTCCAGCACCAGTGTTTCTCTTTCCCATCATTTTCTCCAATTATTCTCATGATTTCCTTTTAAATTTAATCTTTAGCTGGAGTTTCAGTATGAAGTGAGTAGAGAGCCTGTGTTTTTCTCTTCATTTTTTCTTTCATTTGCTTTTTTGAGACTGGGGCCTCACTCTGCAGTTCAGATCGGCCTTGAAATTGCAGCAATCCTCCTGCCTCAGCCTCCTGTGTGTTGGCATTATAGGAACGCGGGACTCTCTAGGAAGGAAACCCTGAAACTGGCCAGCTCTTCACAGCCCCCAGCTACTGCTTCTGTACTTGTGAGCACAGTGGCTGTACCACACCTCACTTTCCTGGGGACTACTGGAAAGTGGAAGTCATTTACACCCCTTTCTAACCCCAAGCTCATCAAGTAAGCCAATGGGCTTTCTAGGTCTTTGAGAGCTAGAAAGGGCTCACTAAAGAGCTGCATCACTTGTTAAACTGAAATTTCTTTTTTTTTTTTTTTTTTTGGTCTTTTTTGATGCAGGGTCTTTTTTTGGTCTTTTTTGATGCAGGGTCTCACAATGCAGTTCAGGCTGGCCTTGAGCTCACTTTGTAGCTCAGGCTGGTCTCAAACTCGCGACGATCCTCCTGCCTCAGCCTCCTAAGTGCTGGGATTACAGGTGTGCGCCACCACGCCCGGATCTTTTTTTTTTTTTTTTTTTTAATTTTTTCTTTAAAAGACACATTGCCAAAAAAAAAAAAAAAAGACACGTTGCCATTAATTCCCCTCAAAATATTCCCTCTTGCCTTCAACATATTTATCTTATTTCTCTTGCTGAAATTTCCTTTGAGTTTAATTTCTTTGGAGTCATTTCCCTTCTGATTCCTCTGAGCAATAATGGCTCTTTTGTTTTTGTTTTTTTTTAATTTTTTATTTTTTGGTCTTTTGAGACAGGGTCTTACTATGTAGTTCAGGCTGAGTTCACTGTGTAGCCCAGGCTGGCCTCAAACCCCTTCCGATCTCCTGCCCCAGCCCACCCAGTGCTGGGATCACAGGCATGCACCACCGCGTCCAGCAATAATAGCTCTTTTGATAGAGAAGTTCCTAGACCTGCAAACTAAAAGCCAGATTGTGAATGGTGGCAACTGCCATCTTGGTGAGGCATCTGGCTATATCCCAGTTAAGCAGCCCTATTTATATTATGAATGCATTCCTGAAACACAAGATATGCATAAAATAAAGTCAGATAAAACAGCTCTGGTGACATAACATACGTTTTGTATGCAGGGCTCAGACCCCCATACCCACAGGCCCTTTCTGAAAGAGACTACAGGAATTCCTCAAGAAAGCTTGCTCTGCGTCCTCAGAGTTGCACCACAGCTGATTAGATCAAGGATTTCCCACTAGGCCAAGGCAGCCTGTAAGCAAACTATAAACACTGCAGGGTCCTGTGGGCTGTAGCTGAAGTGTGGCAGCCCATTATGCCCCACCACCCCCACCTGCCGTGGGGAGTAACTGCCTGGGTGCATTTGTCCCTCCTGAGGAGACAGAAGCAGCCAGCTGCATGCAGAAGCTGGAGCCGGAAGGAGCTGAAGGCGTCCATTCTGAGAAGCCCTGGCTTTTGTTGTCAACTCAGCACCTACCCACGAGCTTAGCTGGGTGACCTTGGCTAAGTTATTTAATTTCTCTAAGCCTCAGTTTTCTCTTCTCTAACAGAGAGTTAATAATCCCAGCTCAGCTAGGCATGGTGGGCAATGCCTATAATCCCAGCACTCTGGAGGGAGGCTGAGGCAGGAGGAGAACTGTGAGTTTGAGGCCAGCCTGGGCTACAAAGTGAGCTCAAGGCCAGCCTGAACTACATAGTGAGACCCTGTCTCAAAAAAATAAAATAAAATAAAGACTCTTCATATTACAGAATACTCTCAGAGCTGTGGGAGTTACAGAAGGAAACCTTCAGGAGTTGTAGAGAGTCAGAGGCCACAGAGAATGCTTGGTGGATGAGGGCGACTCTTTCACTAATCTCTGGGTCCCACCTGTCCCCCAAATTCCCTGTCTGTGTGCTCCCCACCCAAGAGATCCCAATGCGCCATGCCCCTACCCTCCTCACCTGCTCAAGTGGGCAGCCCGCTGGGCCCCATTTCCACCCAGGCCATCATGACATTTGCAGGCACGAAGTATTCGGAGCAGCGTACCCGCAGAATGGAAACACTGAGGGCCCATGAATCCAAAGTTACCAGGGGAGGGGGAGGGCAAAGGCTGAAGGTTCCGGAACAGTTCTCGAATTTCAGAACCAGAGAATACTTACTAAATGCATCTACTGCCTTCGTCATATTGTTCTGGGCAGACCTGGGAAAATAAAAGAAAATACCTTTTCTTACTGAAAATTAAAAAGAGAAAAATACCACCCAGCTACTAAATGTCCACCCCATCTCTGCTGCAGTTTAGAGGAGCTCTGTACTTCCGGCCTGCCAAGTGCATCTGGTGAGCCAGGGGCCCCACATGGCCCAGGTCCTTGCTTTATCAACTGGGTTTATTTTTATTTTTTATTTTTCAGTCTTTTTGACACAGGGTCTCGCTATGCAGTTCAGGCTAGCTTTGAGCTCACTTTATAGCCCAGGCTGGTCTCGAACTCACCACGATCCTCCTGCCTCATTTTCCCCGAGTGCTGGTATTACAGGTGTGCACCACCACGCCTGGCTCCTGACTGGGTTTAAATTGCTGCCCACAAACAAAAGAATCTAAGAAAGAAAGAAAATAACCATCTTCTGTGCAGCATGGTTGGGACATAGAATTATCTTTCAATTGAAAATGTGGGGTTTGGGGTCAGAGCCCCGGCTTTGTCACTTATTACACAGTTGTTACATTTTAGACAAGTGTTCTGGCTTGTGTCTGTATGTCCCCGCAAAGCCTCACGCAGTCATAAATGGGGCTTTTCAGAGGTGGCTGCATCTAGAGTATGTGACACTGGGATTGATTCATGGCACAATGCTGGCATCAAAGGCACTAGGATTAAGGTGTCAGCACTACCCGCCCTAAGTAACCTGGATACAATACAAGGGATAGAAAGAGCTGTGGTTCACCCTTGTTTTTTGCTACGTTCTGCCTGCCCTGGACTGTTTCTCCTCCAAGATACCCCTCTGCCATGCCACCCTGCCTTGGGGCCAGCCAATTATGGACTGAAACCTCTACAAACTGCAAGCTAAATAAACCTCTCCTTTCTGAATTTCGAGCATCAGGTATTTTGTCTCAGCGATGAGAAAAGTAACTAAGACAGCAAGTGTCTTTGCTTCTCTAGGTTTTACTTCCTCATTTGTTTGTTTTGTGGTACTGGAGACCAAATCCAGGACCTTTGCACTAACCTACATCCTAGCCCTTATTTTTTATTTTTTACTTTAGTCCAGGCTGATCTGGAAGTCACAGCAATCCTCTTACCTCACCCTCCCAAGTGCTAGGATTACAGACATGTACCACATGCCCCATGCATTTTAAACTTTTTATTTTGAGATAGACAGGGTCTCACTAAATCATAAGTTGCCCAGGCTGAGCTCCAATTTAAAAATCCTCCTGCCTCAGTCTTCCAGTACCAGAATTACAGACAGGCACCACTACATTCATTTGTAAAATAAGGACTCTACCACTTACCTGCAGGAGTTAAGTGAGATAATGTAGTTTAAGTATAATCTTTTTAAGTTTAAGTATAATTGATAGTAACATGGTGATAAGGTTTTGTTTTTCATTAGTTTGGTCTTGGGAGGGGGTTTGAGAGACAGTCTGGCTATGCAGTTCAGACTGGCCTTGAACTCATTATGCATCCCAGGCTGGCCTCAAACTCAAAGTGATTCTCCTGCCTCAGCCTCCCAAATGCAGAGATTACAAGGGTCTGTAACTGTCCATGTCTGGCTGAAAGTTTTTAAAAGATTACTTTTTTTTTTTACCCTATCAGCCATGTCTAGTCTTCTTAGATCTTTATTATTTGATCAACTGATATTTCCAGTACTGGGGACTGAACCCATGGTCTTCACACTGAGCTGCATTCCCAGACCTTTTTTATTTTTTGAGATAGAATCCTTGCTCAGTGGCCAAGCTGCCCAAGGTAGGCTTGAATTTGCAATCCTCCTGCCTCAGGCTCTCAGAGTGTTGGGATTACAGGCATGTGCTACCACATACTGCTTCCTAGAGAGTTAAGCGATCATTTAAAAAAAAAAAAATACAACTTTCAGCAGAGATCCAGTGGATTTAAGAGATTAGCCAGGTGTGGTGGTGCATGCCTGTAATCCTTCCTAACACTGGGGAGACCACAGGACTGTCAGGAATTCCAAACCAGCCTAGTCTACATCATAGAGAATTCACGGTCAACCTGCATGACAAAGCAAGACTGTCTCAAGAAACCAAATATACAAAAAACAAAAACAGACAAACAAAAAAGAACCTGAGATAAAGGACAGATTTTGAGCTGCTCTGTCCAGCTTCCCATCATTTTCTGTAAGGTCTTTTAAGTGGGATCTTTCAGTATCATTTCGTACTTACAGCTTCCTTGGCTTCTAATCAGACCTCGATCAAACTGCAAGCTCCTCTGGCTTTATACAACCTGACCTTGCCTCATGCACACTCCCCGCCCCCATGGCCTTCTTAACTCTTTCCAGCCTCACGAGCTTATCTTGCCCGCTTCCTCTGCCTGATTCCAGCAGTGACCACCCGCAGCTCTCCGCGCCCTCAGCACCCAGCTCCAGGTACCTGCCCCCCTCCATAGCCTCCCAAGGCTTACTGTGCTATCTCCTCATGCACGCCTTGTCTACTACTCCTCTGAAGCGAAGCCCCATAGGAACAGGGGTGGACTGTCTTGCTCACTGCCACGCTGTTTAAAAGAGACCTGCCACACCATGGGAGCTATTCACAGAACAAGGATGCAGAAGCTCCGAGTCTGGGAGACAAGTTAGGAACAGAGAATGCTCAACAGACTGAGCAGTCCTCCTAAGAACTGCAACTATCACAGGCATACAATTCGCTTCTCTCCAATATCGAGGTTTTTTTATTTTGTTTTTGTCTTTTTGAGATAGGGTCTCGTTATGCAGTTCAGGCTGGTCTTGAGCTCACTTTGTAGCCCAGGCTGGCCTCAAACTGACAACAATCCTCCTGCTTCAGCCTCCTAAGTGCTGGGGTTATAGGTGTGCGCCACCACACCCGGCCTTTGAAAGTCACTTTTGTAATAAGCAAACATCAGGGTGTGCTCACATGAACTGAACCACTAGCCTCGCTAGGTGACCAAATCTTTTGGGACCACTGTCACACTTTCAGTCAGTCACTGACTGGGATGTTGTTATGCAGTGCATGACTGTTCATGTGTGTATGTAACATATATGTGTGCCAACACACACATACACACGCACACCCAAAGTATTCCCTTCTCCTTTGCTTTAAATAAACTTAGTAAAAACTTAGCGAACACAGTGATTTCATAGCTGGAGCATTTGGGCCATTTTTTGGGTGGGAAAGGCAACACAGAAAGCACAATGCACAAATTTTAACAACATATAAAAGCTCTAGACAATCTTTACGATTATCAATTCATAAAGCAAATGAAAGTGGTGAAGAATAATTTCTCTTTTCCTTCCCAAATCTAGACGACAGCAGAGAAACCACCTGTGATGTTTTGAACAGTGTAACACCATGGAAATGTGCTCAGGTAATTTACAGTATTCTCAGAAACACAGGGCTCTATGCTTGTCTTTCCACTCAGACTACTGTGGCGAAAACCACCTGTACAGGTTAGTGCAAGAACCAGCCGCTTCCAGGTGTAGTGGTGCATGCCTGTAATCCCAGCACTTGGGAGGCTGAGGCAGGAGGATCCCTTTGAGTTCGAGGCCAGCCTGGGCTACATAGTGAGCTCAAGGCCAGCCTGAACTGCCTAGTGAGACCCTGTATCAAAAAGCAAAAAAGGGGCTGGGGATTTAGCTCAGCGGCAAAGCGCCTGCCTGGCAAGCGCAAGGTCATGAGTTCGGTTCCCGGTACCGGAGAAAAACCAAAAAAAAAAAAAAAAAAGCAAAAAAAAGAACCAGCCACTGTACGCAAAGAGCTTGGTGGTGACACATGTTGGTGGCCTGGGCACACATATCACAGGAACCTAAGAGCTTGACAGCTGGATCACAAAAACAGGAATTGAGGGCAAAGACTCTACTATTTCATTTTATAATCCTGCACCCTTGTACTGGAAACATACGGGAAACTGCTATATGCAACCAGAAAATGGAGGCCTGGCCACAGGAAGGGGTTACTGCTACTGCCCAGGGTCACACATGCGTCAGGGGCAAAGCTGGCAACAGACCTAACTCCCTGCAAACCTCTCCCTCCCTCCCTTCCTCAGGCGACTTCTTCCTTCTTCCTCCCTCACAGCTCCCCCTTCAACTTCCTTTCTTCTCTGCTTGAACACTTTTCCCTCGTGTCTGCCTGTGGTAACTGGCAGACAGAATCAGGGATCAATGAGGACAAGCAGCCTGGGTCATCTCCAGGCTAGATTTGTTCAAAGTCTGTTTGAACATGAAAAGGAACGTCTCCCCACTTCTTACTCGTTGACTTCCAGGTCTTGGTCATCAGAAGATTCATCTTCTCCAAGGACATTTTCAGGATCTGGTTTCCGAATGAGAAAAAACAGAACTGTCCCCACAAGGCTAATCACTGTTAGGGCAATAAACACTGTTCTTCGGTCACTCTCTAGAGAGAAAAAAGAAAAAAGGAGACAGCATTGACCAGACAATTCCTGAATAATAATAATCGTAATGATTATTTGGGGTTTCTTTTTGAGACAGTGTCTCATTATGTAGTTCAGGCTGATCTTGAACTCCCTATGTAGCCCAGGTTGGCCTAGAACTTACTGTGATGTTCCTACCTCAGCTCCAGAGTGCTGGGATTACAGGTGAGTGCCTGTACCATGCCCACCCTGAGTTAGTATTATGTTGAAGGTTGTTTTTAAGTGGTAAAACACTACCTCATTAAATTTTTATTTTAATGCATCAGTAAAAATTTAGGGCAAGGAGATAAGTAGGCCACTTCCCCCTTTGTCTTTTAGCTAGAGAGTTACTAACAAACCAGAAGAAAAACAGTACAAGAACCCAATCATCCAATCATGTTCTTTTAATCAAAGAACTATATGGACAACAGAATTCACTAGATACTCATGCACAGCATGACCTTCTCTCATACCTTGAGATTCCTAATCTATAATCTAAGTCTAATTCTATAAACCCAGAAGAAAGCTTTCCAAACACGCAAACACTGAGGAGAACATGCAGCAAACACCTCGGAGAACATGCGGTACCAAAATTTATCAGGACAATGCTTGAACAAAGCACTAACAATATTTCTGAAGTCAGGTGTGGTGGCACACACCTATAATCCCAGCACTCAGGAGGCAGGAGGATCCTTGGAAGTTTGAGACCAACCTGGGCTACAAAGTGAGCTCAAGGCCAGCCTGAACTGAATAGTGAGACCCTGTCTCAAACAGACAAAAAAAAATTTCTGTGGCACCATGAGCATGCTTTGAACATATCTAAATAAAACAATGAAAATAAGGCAAACCTGATATTTGGGTTTTCCCTTGCCAGGCAAAATATATGTAGAGGTTTCCAAAGAATAAGCTGAGGGAGAAAAGGGAGGAGAAGATGCTGGGAAATTATTATAATATTTATGGTTTTCAAAAACAATTACTCCTATTATTTGTTGAGAAAGAGAGAGAGAGAGAGAGAGAGAGAGAGATGCAATTTGTAGACTACCTGCTCTAGGTCATTTCAAAGTTTCAACTCTACCCTCTTTCTGAGAAAGCAACTGACCCAGATAGAACTTAGACTCCCTCCATGTGACAGTAAGCTGATTCAGAGCCTCCCGCCCTGCACAGGGCCTGACTCACTTTGAGACATGTGATTTAATGGCACTCTGGAAGTGATTCCTTGGAAACAAGCTTATGCTACTTTTAAAATCCTTTGAAGAAGCTATGAAAAATATCTAAACTAAATCCTTATCTGCATCTAAACAGATACTTATTTTGCAAACTCTCCCAGGGAAGGAAGCATTCACTTACATTCCCATTTCCTACTCTACAACTCCTGAAAATAAAACACTTTTTACCAAGCCTATTGAAGCAGAATCCATGAAGGCAGGATCCATGAAGGTAAAGCCTTCAGATTTCCAAAACCTAACAGTCATGGGCAGAATGGGTTTTTGCTTTCCTCTTAAGAAATACGCAACATACGGTATCACTCAGCATTGGTACAGTTTCATTTCTAAATTTTAATGTATTTCCTAACAGCTGTTAGGCAGTGTAGTTCAGCGGGAAGAACGTGACTGTTGGAGTGCAGAGAATGATGGTTTAAATTGGCTTAGTTAAAATACAATAAAAATAAATAAATTGGCTTAGTTACTTTCCTTCTGGTCTTTGCTTTCTCATCTGTAGAATGAAAACCTTCTCACCTCATATGGGGATTCTGTGAAATTAAGTAGAATCCAACAGTCCCTGAAATACAGCAGAAGCTAAAAACATGGAAGTTAGCATTCCTGTTTAGTAATCTTATGTTCTGTTGAGGTAGTCTCATGCATTCTAGGTAACTATAAAATTCTGAATCTGTATCAAGTCAGCAAGGAACTTAAGTCATACAACGTGAATGACCTGAATTTTCAATGAAACAAATACCCAATAAATGACGGGACCAAAAAAAAAAGAAACAGAAAGACTTGAGTTCCAAAGGATTATTACCTAGACTGTAAGAGTGCCCAGAAAATTCCACTGTTTCTCCCAATAGTGTGTTCGTCTGAATTTATTGTCAGGCAGTTTCCTTGTGCTGTCCAAAGTACTAAAATTCAAACCAGAAGTTTATGAAGGGAATGAAGTCATTTGGCTTTACATAGTGAACCCACAAATGATACCCTCCGACAGGCCTCTGATAAGGAAACAGATAGAAATCAAAATGCTCACCGGCAGCTGCAATTCCAATGAAAACAGACGCCGTGTAGAAGGACCAGGGGAAAGGCTGGATAAAAACGGCAATGTACATGCTAAAATATAACAGGTCAACGTATTACGGTCAAACGATACCTGAAATAGAATGCCAAGTATCCTTCTAGGAGTCACTTCTGAGTGCTCTGCTCTTAATATTTAACCTGTAAACGACTTCCTTGGCTTTGAAAAAAGGGACAAACATGACTTATTCTTTTTTTTTTTTTTTTTGGTTTCTTGAGACGGGGTCTTGCTATGTAGTTCAGACCGGCCATGAACTCACTATGTAGCCCAGGCTGGCCTTGAACTCAAACTCATCCTCCTGCCTCAGCCTCCCCAGTGCTGGGATTACAGGTGTGTACCACCATGCCCCTCAACTTGCTCATTTCCTACTCTACTATCTCAAATTTGTCAAAATTGTACAGATTTCCAGTACCCTCTGCCAACAGCTAAGTACATGACAGAGGGTAGCTCTAGAGCTCAGGAGCGTTTTATTATTTCATTTGAATCTCTATTAGTTAACTTGCTGGATAGAAGGTAAGATTATTTCACGGACAGTTCTCGTCCACTGTTACGTTAAGAGATCTTTGGAAACTATTTATTATAGTAAAACACAAGCAGACATGTACACATCCCATCAGTTAGAACGGCCTGGTATCTCTGAGCAACAAGCAGAGAGCTGACCCTTAAAACACCACCCTCTATTCTGTCCATTTTAAGTCTGCAAGTTCTTGTTAAGTTTTCTGTGTGCTTCAAAGATGCTGGAAGTGTTCTAAGTTAGAGAGTGAAGAAGACTGCTACTCACCTGTAAAATAAACCACTGGCAAACATAGAGAGTTGAGGGCCCACAATGGCAACCACAGATGGCGTTATCAAGTTTGAAGCAGAGAACACTCCATAAATAATTGCCATGCTGCACACATAACACACAAAAGGGAAAAAGGGATACAACTCTTAAGCACTGTCTCAAAAGCTCACTTTTCATGTTTTTGTTTTTTGGATAGAGGGTCTCGCTATTTAGCCTAGGCTGGCCTTGAATACACAGCAATCCTGCCTCAGCCTCCCAAGTGTTGGGATTATAGGTATGAACCACCATGCCCAGCTCAAAAGCTCACTTGTAGAACTCTATTTAGGGCTGGAAATATAACTCAATGTGGTACCACACTTGTCTAGCATGTGGGAAACCCTGGATTTAGTAACAGGATGGCAAAAAAAAAAAAAAAAAAAGGCAAAAGAAAGAAAACTATTTAGGGTCTCTAGAATTTGTAATACTCTTCAGTCAAGATTTATTATAATACCCTTAAACTAATAACATATGTGTACAAAATATTCAAGTCCCATCAGAAGTTTCTTTCAATTGGTTGTCTACAACGTTTTCAATGTACTAAGTTATAATAAAGCTACTATACAACAGATACCAAGCCAAATACTTCTGAGACATTTCCTCTTTTAATCCTGAAGCTCTAAAAGGAAGGTGTTGATACAGACAAACTGTAACACAGTGAAGTAAGTCACCAGAAGTTTGGTGGCTGGTGAATGGTGAGCCAGGATCCCATCTCTGGCAATCTGACTCCAGGGGCCCAGGTTAACCAGGCTATACTACAAAATTAGCCTACAACTTCTGGCAGCTGCACAACACTTCCTTGCTATAAATAACAAGCACGGAGTTGTAACTTGCTTAATCCAGAATTTATGTAACTCAAAATAATGGTTTCACGTGAACATTTTTCAGTTACTACTGACCCAGCCTTACTACACCTATCTTGTAGAACATGTAGCCTTTTGAGGATCCTGATTTCATTTACTAGCCAGTATTGTAAATTCAAAGTAAATTATTGTCTTTGGTCAATCTCTCAAATATCAAATGTGTTCTTTTACTTGTTTTGATTTTAGAGTATTAGGGCTTGAACCCAGGTCCTTGGGCTAGACAAGTGCTCAAGCCCTGAGCTACCTCCTTACTTTTCAATTGTGAAACTGGGTCTCACACTAAATATTCCAGGCTGAGCTCAAACTTGCAATCTTCCTGCCTCAGCCTCCTAAGTGCAGGTCATTTGTTCTTTAGAATACAATGAAGATGACAAAAAATTATTATGTCAGGCATGGTGGCACATGCCTGTAATTCGAGCACTCAAGAGGCTGAGGCAGGAGTATTGCCATAAATTCGAGGCCAGCCTGGACTTCATAACAAGATCCTGTCTCAAAACAAAACAAAAAATTACGACATTATTAATTACCCAAAAAAGGAACATTAGTATCTTCATTCTCAATTATCATATATAAGGCTTAGAATAGTAATAAAGAACTGCATAGGAGTTTTGGGAGCCAGACATAGTGGTGCATGCCTGTAATCCCAGCACTAGCACTTGGGAGGCCATAGCAGGAGGATTGCCAAATGTCTGAGAGTACCTTGGGCTACATAGCAAGTTCAAGACCAGCCTGGGCTACACACTGAGACCTTGTCTCAAAAAAAAGAAACAGCAAAAAAAAGTTTTGGGTCAGGGAGTGCCACAATACAATAGCTAACTATAAAAAAATTAAGGAATTTGTTCATGTAGTCCAATTTAGCTACTCCACATGTATACTTATTTTTTGAATATCTATTTTAAAACAATGTTATACAGATATATATAATTTTGTCAATTAGATTTTTAAAGAAATCTGTTTGTATGTACACACATGTACATATTACACTCCCAGCTACAATCACAAGGTATTAGTGACTTGTGAAGATCTTTTCACTTGCTTCATCTGTAGAACTGAGACTAACACCAACAAAAATCTAAAAACTTCTGATGAAATTATATTTGTTAGGAGGTTACTAACACAGGATGATAAAATATTTCAAGAAACACAAAAAATACCTATTTAGGATTGGGAAAATGTAATTATCACACTATCGAGCACTTACTAAATGTCACCCACTGTGCCAAGGGCTTTATATCCACTCTCTGAGCAAAGAAACTGGGCTCATAGAAATAACTTGCCTAACCTAAAAGCAATCAACTTATGAAGCTGGGATTTCAAGCCCAATCTAATTTCACAGAAAACTAACTCATCACCTTTAATTGCTCTATGTGTCCCACATAGAGTACTGCAGTCTAGATACTGAGAAGAAAAAAAAAAGCCATCGCAAATTGAATCAGTACTTTATTGATAGTGATTCCGATGGAATTTAAGCAACTACCATTACATGCAAAGTAAAATCAAGTACACAGTACAATACCTGGTATATCCACTGCCGTGAAAATCTGTGCTATTTAAGCTCCTGATGACAGTTTGCTGTGTAGAAAATAAAACTAATCAACGAAAACGTTTTGCAATCCTTCTCCCCTTTAAAAGGCTGATTCCAAGCACTCAGAAAGAAAAACATCAAGATTTGCAATACTCATTACTTAATGCTGAACGTCACTCTGACAGGAGAAAAATGACAACTGAATTGGAGAAGGCAAACCAATGACCGGGGAGGAGAGAGCAACTAACCGTACCTGCGCCTTAGATTTTATTACTTTAACCACCCAAGTACTAACACGGTGCTTAATACAGAAAAAAAACTATTGTCAACATACAAACCCCAAATCAAATCGGAGAAATAAACGGTAATACAGGAGAAATGTCTGACACGTGAAGTCAAACCCCACCACAGAAACCGAGAAAGGCTAGGTAAGAAAACAGAAGATGCAATTTACACACGCTATGAGATATAACTGACGTTTATAATCGTTTCAGAATGCACATAGGCACTTCAAAGGAGGGAGAACAGATTCCAACTCACCGCCACATTTCCACAAGTTTGAAAGGCAGTGAACATAAACATAAAGGCAACTCCTAAAATAATAATGTTGAAAAGCTTTTTGGATTCCGGGGACATTTTGGCTCCACTCTGCCGGAGGTCAGCAGCGGCCCAGGACAGTCAGCTCTCCTCCGGGCGAGCCCACTGACAATCCCTGTGAAATGAGACGGCGAAAGCAGGAGGCAGATCCGGGAGCAAGGGAGCCAAGCTGTCAACTTCCAGTCCTTGGATCACAATCCCAGGCGTGGGGTGAAGTTCCCCCAACGGGCCCAGTTAAGACATGGACATTCCAGGGATACGATCCGAGTAGGGAAGAGCCCAGCACCGGAAGAGAGCCAAGAATGTCGCCGCTCCAGGTTGAGGGGACGGCGGGGGGATTAGCGGCAAGGACAAGCTGAGCGGCCTCGCGGCCCCGCCCGCCGGGCCTGATTCACTGCAGGTCACGGGACAGGTCAGCTGACTAGGGCCGCTGCGCCTGCTGGGAGTAGTAGTCCAGAAGCCTCGCGACGCCCACTCGCAACTCCAAGATCCCGCCACTACTCACACCGCCCCTGGGAATCGGGGGTGGGGGGGGCGCGGGGGTCTCGCGGAAGGGGGTTGTAGAATGGAATCCCGCGAAGGCCCGTCGGGAGTTGTGGGAGTCTAGTGACGAGGTGCGGTCTGAGGAAGTCGGAAACACAAGCCAACAGGGACAGGGGTACCCCAAAAGCGGGAAGGAAAGGCTGGCAGCAGAGTAGCCTACAGTGTATGCACTGGCATGGAAAAGAGGGCGGAGCCCAAAGACGTGCACCGCCTCTTCCGCTAGTCTGAGCGCTCTCGCCCTGCCTCTCCGGCAGAGAGCATTTCGCGGGCTTTCCAACTGCCCACAAACGCCGCTCCCCTTCTCGTCAGCCGTGACTGCGCGCTTTTCTGCCCGCCCGCCGCGCTGTGCGCAGGCGCAATGAACAGGGGCGGGAGGTGAGGGCGCGACGTTATAGGCTAGGGCAGAGAGAGCCAATCAGAGGATTCATTTCCGGGTGGCGCGGGCGCCATTTTGTGAGAAGAGATTATAAAAGGGTGCTGGGGCGAGCGGCCAGCTCATTTGCTGCTCTGGTACGCTTAACTATACCTTTCTCGCGCTACCCAGTCTTTCTTTTTGGCTTTCCCACGCGGACCGCAACTGACTGGGGAGAGGCGCGGCGTCTCGCTGCCGCGACCTGAGGAAGCCGCCGCTTCTTGTGAGCGTGCGGGCCCGCACAGAGCGTTAAAGTCTCGGCGCCGGTTCGCGGGGCCCCGGGCCGCTTCACAACCATGAGCTACGGTCGCCCGCCTCCCGATGTGGAGGGCATGACCTCTCTCAAGGTTGATAACCTGACCTACCGCACCTCGCCCGACACGCTGAGGCGCGTCTTCGAGAAGTACGGGCGCGTCGGCGACGTCTACATCCCGCGGGACCGCTACACCAAGGAGTCCCGCGGCTTCGCCTTCGTCCGCTTCCACGACAAGCGCGACGCCGAGGACGCCATGGACGCCATGGACGGGGCCGTGCTGGACGGCCGCGAGCTGCGCGTGCAGATGGCGCGCT